GGTTGTTCTGCGTTCAAGCCGTGGTCGTGATCAAGTGCATCAGCATGCTTGTTCATGAGCAACCAATAATTCGATACTATTATTCTTTTCTTTTTTTCATTCATTATTCCATACAACTTTTGCCCAACGAGTCCTACTATACCAATGTGGTGCTGATGCACTTGATCACGACCACGGCTTGAATGCAGAACAAACCCAACACTCCCGTGGTTCAGCCCGTGCTAAAGGTGCGCTCTGATTGGCCAATGTTTTTTGTTAATAACTCGAAAACGAAACCTTAATCAACATTTTGGCAAAGGAAAAAGTTGTTTAGAATCACCTTGTCAATCATCCCTCTTCGGTTGTTGACGTAGTCGTTGGACACCCTGTATACATAATATGTACAATACATATTTGTATGTACGTATTGCGTTCTCAATTCGTTAACGCACTCTATTCTTATACTTCTATGGTCTTTACATAGAAATCTGTCTTTGTTTATAAACCGTGTTATACACAGCTACTCTGACGCAAAAGTGAACAAAGCAAATCTTTTTCTACGTGTTAAAATAACATGTATGTACAAATAATATTTCGTGTACAATTTTTCGCTATGTAAAAGAATGAAAATCAACATAACTTTAGTTGTTCATTTGTACTTTGCTGTTATACGTATGTAAATATATTACCTGGTGCGTGGTATTTTATGCATGTCAAATAATGAACTGTTAGAACAAAAACTCATTATTTTACCGTAATGTGAGTCATGGATGAATGTTATTACATAACTGATACATTATTGCACTTAAAATTTTAAATTATTATTGTACAAAGAGGCTATTAGTATTACGGTGCTTAAATTGTTTGTCTGATTTATGATTTATTGAATTCTAGTCATTTGTTATGTGTAACATTTCTAGTATTAGTCCTTTATATATGTAGATTTATTTGCTTTTTATTCGTTAAAATAACATCTATCTAAAAAAACACGTAACCTTCAGGTTACGAAAAAAGAATCGTCCCTTTTCGTGTTCAGAAAATTATTCCAGTCCACTGACGTAAGCAGATAGAGGCCAGTATGGATCTGGTCCTCCCAAAAATATAAACTGCCCTCCTCGAAAATTTTTTAAATTTTCTAAAATTGTTCTACAATTATCAGATTTCCAACATTTCTAAGAGATCTGTTCCAAACAAGACAAAAAATTCTAGTTAGGTAAATATTTCGCACAATGACCTTCATAACTGTATGTATGTCAAGATCACTGAAATCAATGAGAATAATCCTATTTTACATAATTGCTTCTCCTTTTCATATATTATATTATTGCAGTGCTATTTTCTAAAATTAAAATCACGATTGAATTAGAGATGCTGGTATCGATATCGGTATCGGTATCGATATCTTACAATTATTGATTCTTAACGATGTTATCGACATATCGTTAAGATATCGTTAATTGTAAGCCTAATAAGAACGATTGAAGTAGAATTATGATTCAAATTTATTTCCTCTTATTCGAATTTTCCACTTCACACTCAATATGTTGTAATCAAAGGCCGTAGATCTACGCTTTGTAAAACAACAACCTCGATCTACCCCCATTAATATTCTAACCCACGGTAGACTTAAAAAATGTCCTGGACCCAATGTATTAAAATTATCATTGAACTTATGTTAGCCTAACATTAAATTTTTATCATTCAAATCACAAAATTTTTTCATTTAAATGTATCTATGCGTGTTTGAATTTCAAACTTAACCTTCTTCAAACAAGAATTAGATTCTTATGATAAAATTATGCGTTACATTATACTTAGATCTTCCTTATTCTTTTTAATGAAATCGTAATGATAATATCGAATCATGTATCGGTAACATGCCACTACTATCGATAGTAGAATTTTATTGATAATAACACCTTTAATTTAAATAACATTATTTTAAAAACAAAACAAACACGAGATTGAAGTATCGTATTTATAATTCGATATTTAAAATGTTGATCATTTGTGTTATTTGAATGTATATACATATATATATAAATATTATGTATATATTGTACATATACATACACTATATTAGTATCAAATATTAAAGTTCAATGATTACCTTCATCTTCAGGATCTATAAGAAAATTTGGTAGTCTTAAACAAAGAAAATAGTCATTTTCTGTGGAAGTAACGCCTCTACTTGACATTTCGAATCACTCACAAATCACTCACAGTTAACTTTAAATTAACAAATTAACAATTAAAGTAATTATAAACACTTTATAATATCTACTTATTGGAAAAACATTTCATAATTAATATTTAACAACTAAATTTTGTGTTTTAACGTTGAATTAGCTGCTAGTTTAATTAATAATGTAATGTTACAACGCATATGTCTGAATAAATGTTATTTATGTCTATAACTTGTACAGAATAAGTCACAGGATCAGTCGAATCGAAAAACTTGACAGTACATACGTCGTTACGTATACACACTGGTTTCACAGTAAAACTATTTTATGTAATACGTTGAAAATGAATTGTAATAACTGTGGCTGAATACACAAATATATTTATCTAAAACTACTTGGCGCGCACGTTGAATTCGTGTATTGACCGTACACGTGAAAATAAAACACTGAAGATGTACGATTATTCTTTGTATCGTTGAACAGGGTATACTGTCGCAAAAAGAACGAGTAACCTTGTTTTTGCCTGCGTACTAACACTTGACCACTCTAGCAATATGCCTAAATAGACGGAGAACCTTCGTACTGTGGCAAAAATACTATTGGAGGAGGATCGAACAAGAACAACGGTGAAAACAAGGAAGATGTTAGGCTCTATGCCAAAATTTGAATTCTAGGTGCTATTATATACATAACATCTCCACGTATGTAGATACATATAGTTACTGTTATATTTAAAAACAATTATATATGGTGCTTTTTACAGACAAATAAAACAAGACACACAAATACACCCCACGACAAAGCTATAAGACGTTTATCATTCTAATAAAGATACACGAGTTTCTAGAATTGCTGAAATAAAACTGAACTAATAAACTGAAAAATATCAAATTCAATGTTAAACTCATTAATTATACAATTTATATCTGATAAAGAAAATGCAATTTTCGGGAATTTTAAAGTTTTTATATTTCCTTTCGTAGAAGTTTTTCAAAATTACGCGCGCAGTAGCGGCCAATGAACGAGTGCGCATGTGCGATTGGACAAGAACACAAGAGCATTTATGCAGCGTTTTCTTTTTATTCCTATATTGCATGCACTTATATACTTACTTACAAACATAACTTTACAACCGTACAGTCGCGTTAGCACATGGTTTACTCACTTTATTCTTCTATCTGTATGGTCGTGACATATGTATATGTATTATTTACTACAAATAGGTACAATTATGTATGTACAATTTGAGAACTTGTAAATATTATTATACAAACACATAGTTTTGTAGAGTGCCTAAAGTAAAATTGAACTACAGTGTGATTCTCTCGCTACGCAAGACAAAAGCCGTGCCGCACAATCGAACTCTGCTGTTTTTGCGGATAAAGAGACCCAGGGGCCATATCGCAGGACCCAAAACTGCTCTGTGTGTGTTTATGGCTGAGACGAAGACAAAAACGGAACAGCAGGGGTTCCATTGTGCAGCACGGCTTTTGTCTTGCGTAGCGAGAGAATCACCCTGTATTTTAATAAACATAATTTTTTTTTATAATTTCATTCATTCTCTTTGATAATTTTTTTATAACATTGTAATCCAAGGATTTCTATTCATTTAAAATACAATTTTTTAACTCTTTTATAGTGTTAATTATTTGTTATTTGTATATACTTGTCACGGAATCATTCCTTAACAGCCTTTAATAGTGTACAGAACTATGATAATATGGAATGTACCGTCTGCGTTTGCTAAGATGATACACTCACAATCAGTAGAAATTGTCTGATTGGTCGTGCTCCACCTCAGCTCACACGTATTTTCGGCAATAATACAGTTATTAAAAATGTATTTGGACAGAGCATCAACTTTGATATTTATTCTTATAACTAAATATTACAATGAATTAAACGAATCTTAATTATAACAAAGTGAAAGCTTAAACATTACATTAACAATTTTATACTGATACGACTGCGTGATCAAACAGAGACACAAGGGATCCATATGCACTGTTCTCTTTCTACTCCTATATCGTTTTTCATCTTGTTCATACACTCTATTTTTTGTAGATCTATATTAAATACTTACAATTAATAAGGAAAATCAAGCACATAAAGAGGACAAATGAATAAAGAAAACAGAAAAAACATAGCGTAAGCAAAGGAAAAAGTTAATGTTATCAGCCATCGTATTTTTTTAAAGGATGTTCCTAGTGTGGCAATCCTTATAAAGGATAAAAGAATTTTTTAAATAAAATTATTCAGCTTTTCAATTATTTAATTTGATAGATTTATTTTTATACATTTTAAAAATATTCAATATTTTTCTTAAGTAAAATGTTGATAATCGACAGTTATCGGAGTTTTTCAGGTGCGGTTAAGGAAGAAATATTATCACCAATCGTATCGCTGACATAGTAGCTGTTATTTCAATTGTTCAAAACAACAAAAAACTTAAGAAAAGTTTAATTTTTTGCAAATAAAGATATGTACTTTCTGAATAGCAAAATTCTAAATATAGCCGATAAAGAGACATCTGCAGAGTTTCAAGTTTATCATATAATTAGTTTTGCGGTATGTATCGTGTTTAAAAAATGTAATTTTGAGAAAAACGCATTTAAAGTTTCATGCTATATGCATATGTGTATAAAAAGAAATTGTATACTTACTTTCTCAACTAGGTCCAATACACTTTAAAATCATGCTTTTGAGATAATAAACTGCCACATAATACAAAAGAAGAAAATTCGATTTTTTGAATGTGCCACACTAGATAGACTCCTGAAGTTACATAACAGTTTTTATTTAAGATACTAGATAAAAGATTAATATGAAACTTACGATCGCGCTGGTGTTCGACATCGTGCGTTGTTGTTGAACTGTCAGCATCACCTTCTCCTAATTCGTAGCAAATTCTATCGGTTCCACCATTTATTTCGTTCACACCATTTACCCCTACCAGATCTTCCATGTTTCTACAAATACGTATAGTTTAATTTTTTTTTCTACAGTAATCTTCCACTTCGCCTTTATTTCGACATAGGATTGTCAGTGTATTCGATTGCTACATTAAAATTATACATTGTGATAAATCAGAATTAATTTTGAATTTGACCTTTTAATAACAAAATGATTGTTTAGAAGTATAAACAAGTTACTATTGATTCTTACATGTAAAAGACCCGCACACGTTATACTTGTAAAACTGGTCTCGGTCAAATTCGGTAAAGTTTATAATATGTTGCAGTCTAGATGGGGCTGATGAAAAACCTATTACACATAAAAAATCAACAATTAAAAATATAAAATATACAATGGCTTAAATGAATGCTGTTTCTGAATACATAATTTATGGTATATGCATATTGTACATGTTTGAAAAAAAGAAATGTGCATATAACGTATGTAAGTACATGAGTGTGTATGCGAAACAATTGATCAACTATCTCCCTCAGGTCTTTTTCCACTACATGGAACATAATGAAATTCTGTAGAAATAGTTGTCAAAAAATCGAAAACTGTGTGAAGTTGACCACTAATCGAAGGGAGTTGGTCACAATCGTCTGAGCTCGGTGTATACAATACATTCACTCGCGATCAAATCAGGTTTTCCTAGAAAAATAGCGATATAGAGGAAACAGGAATTCAAAAAATTTCAATTTTGACAACATTAATATTAAAAGCAATTTATAGTTATTAAATATTATAAAATTTAGTGTATAACTGAAAAATACGAGTAATAAAGTAAATATCAATTCAAATTTTTCCGCGTAAACGTTTACATACAAAAAATGAGAGTCAAAGGTCTATACATATGGAGCCTTCTCCCCTACAACGTTATTCTCTTTAGGAATGCTTAAGCCTTAGGCTAGATCCACACTATCGGTTTGATCACGGTCCGCTCTCAGTCCGGTAAAATCTTCGCTTACCCATACTGCTATGCCACTTTCGAGCCGCTCTCGGTCTGATAGTCAATTATAAAAAGTCTTTTTCGATTGTACTTTTGGCATTAGTGGCATTTTCGATAACTCTGCTTTTGGAAAAAGTTTACAAAGTGGCAAATTGAATGTTCCCGAGGATTCTCCGCTGTCAGGAACAAATACAATAGCACTTTATGTAATATTAGGTGATGAAGCATTTCCATTAAAGAAATATTTAATGCGGCCTTATCTAGGATCAAAAAGTCTAGAAGATATTGAAAAAAGAATATTTAATTATCGATTATGTAAAGGAAGAAAATTAGTCGAGTGTGCATTTGGGATTTTATCGCAAACCTTCAGAGTTTATTGTAGAAGACTCATAGCTCATCCTGAAAATGGCACTACAATTATTTTAACGACATTCATCCTGTATAATATTATTAGAAATAGTCTACCTATAAATTGCGAAAAGAATTTAGAATACATTGAGACCAATCATGTAAACAATCTACGAAGACAAGGTGGAAATTCACAAGCTGAAGCGTTTCAAACGAGGAAGCGCAGACACGCTTCAGGAAAATATTCTTCGCGATTGCTCGGGACCGATGCGGGATTGGATCGGAGCTGGAGCGCATGAATACCCTCATAGATTTACACTGTACTATATTTTAACCGATCAAGAGTGGTACAAGAGCGGACCATGACCGAACCGACAGTGTGGATCGGGCCTTAAGGGTAAGGCAGAATCAGGGGAAGGGGAGGCCTACGAAGAAAGCAAGGAACACCGGAACTCTGGAACCGCGAACCCAAAGAAAATTGGGGGAAATAGGGACACCGCTATTTTCCGGAGGAAGTGTGATTTAATCGCGAATATACATTGTAAATTCTTTTATCTTTCGTTATACTCATCTTTTGTTAAACATTACGCGTATATTTCGTTTCATTATATAAAACACAGAATAATCTTATATTTTATTAATTATCATATATCGAATCTCTTTTATTTTACTTTAACTTAATTAATGTAATCTAACCTAAAACCAATCTGTTGCGTTATATGCATGTACTTATACATATATATATGCGATACAATACACATTCGTTGCGCAACTCAAGAAACGGAGCAGTTACTGCGCCCAACGTTTAAACATCGATGAAAGAAATACGCGATACCGCGTGATCGGAGATCTAGAGTTACCGATCAAACACACGATATCATGTGATCGAGCAATTAATGTTGACGATTGAGCACCGGATATCGTGTGATCAGGTACTTAAAATCGACTATGGAACACGCGATAGTGCGTGATCGACAGCAACCATGTTAACTTACCGACGCTTCAGGCATTCTGATTTAATTAAAAGCTAGGTAAGTATTACTTCCAGACACTTTATGGAACGAATGACAGTCTATTTTTCAAAGCGATAGTACATGTCAACCGACCATAATTACCTACCTACATTATAGTAATTAAATGTCGATTCTGAATCGATTTAAAACTTTAATTGGAATAGATAATTAACAAATAAATAGTATAGGAGGGCCTGTATCTTTCGAACGCGCGAATTCTCGAACCTAAAATTTTATGTTGGATGCATTGGGTAAATTCTACTTGTTTCCTTCAAGCTCATGGCACCTACCAAGTTCGGAAGAAAATCCCAAATAAGTGGCTAAACTTCGCTAACATATTCTAGTGCTCGTAACGATGAAGAAAAAGTTAAACATACATCGGCCCGTGAACAATTCTTTTCCAAGAATAAACACTTTTTGTTTACATCGAAATTTGAATATTTCATGATTTGAATAGCTGACGCGCGTAAAATTACTAGCATTGTCGTCATTTTTTTCTCTTAGTTATTAAGAGAATCTATTAATGAGCTTTTCCATTTGATATTCATTCTATACATATTTCATCAGAGTAATTGATTGTTAAAAGATAAATTACACTTATTAAAAGCTGGGGTCAGATGGACCTACATTAACCTGTATAGATCTAAATCATTGTACGTATTTAAAAACTTGATGTATGTACAATAGTATTTGACATTTTTCATGATGCACCATAAATAATTTATATTAATTAATAATTCATAATATATAGCCATTACAATGTAAAAAAATGATTTTTAACGAATACGAAAATATTATTAAAAGAGAGATAATGAACTTTAACAGCATTGTGCTAAAGTAATTCGAAACTCAAAATACCAAATTTATATATAGGGTACATAGTCATATTCTGGATACATGGTATATCATTCATAACAAAAGACAAAAATTGAATATCAAGTTTTACAAATCAATTTAACCCTCACTAAATATGTTTAAATTGATATTGAAAAGTAGTATGATCGTTGCATAAAAATAAATTTATTCTGTAAAATAAAACAACTCTAGGTCGATTCAAAATTAATTGACTGTTTATCCAAAAGAGTGTGTAATTACACCGACGCATCATAATCAAAAGAAAAATTTTACTTAATTTCCTTACACTATTACGAGTTGGAAAAAAAATTCTCACTTTCAGTAAAACATTTGGGAATATCGCTAAAATGTAAACACTGAACGAAACGATCACTGATAAAGATCACTGTTTTTCACTATTTAAGGTTCAAATGAAGGTATGTATAGATTTCCAAGAGCATTCAATATGCCTTTTAATCACTTTTCCTACAGATCCAATACAATCACTACGTCGTACTTCAATAGTAAATTATATACACGATTGTCATAAAATTATTAAAGAAATAAGAAGGAAAATGTAATCGTTCACAAAACACTGTTAAATGATGGATACTGCATACAAAATCTCTAAAATGCTGAAACGTGCTGTTAGCCACCGACTGTCATCACTGTACATTTCAGCCACGGTGCGTCGGATAGGAACGTACCTGTTCTCGCAGCGCCCCTTGGACAAAATGGAATAAATCGATTGAAATAATGAAAAAGATTTTTCTATTTTTTTTTTTTTATTCTATTTACCTAACGAAACTAATTTGAATCTACGATAAATGATCGTTGATTAAAAATTTTTTAATGCAATACACCATTAAACTGTTATTAATATCTCTGATTTTGTCTTCTAAACGTATTATAAAAACTGGAGAGCTATTATAACGAAGTGAACTGCCCTTGAAAGAAGTTGAAGCGAAAAAAGATAAATATTAAATGATACATCTATTCTTTTTTAATTGAAAATTTATAGTAAATTTATATACTGAAAATTAAATATTAAAAATCGTATCAGTCTTTATATCAAAACACAAAATACAATAATCCATATTTGAGCTTTAAATGACATTAATAGCAATAAAACATGTAATAGGAATTTCGAAATATAGTAGTCATGCATAATTTTAAAATGTTTAATATTTTTTTATAATTTATTTTCCGACCGTATTCATTGATTTTTAGATATACCATAACCTATTTATACGAAACTTGTACATACATTGATACAAATGTGTATTATAGCACAATCCCATGAAAGAATAAAACTACATTACCACTTGTTATCTATTTTTCTCTCATTTTATGCTCCAGGTGAAAATAACAATAACATAACTTCACTCGTAAACGTAAGCTTTGACTTATTTATTGTTTACAATATACAGGAGTAGTTAATAATTTTTACATTAAAACATACATTAATATTTTGTAATTCTTAATTGCGACATGTTTACATTCTACAATTAACTATTTTTATGCTTTTTACATTGTTAAAAAAATATACATTTTGAAATGAAGGAAACACCTACAGCTTATAAGGCATTCAGGACGGAATCTAATTAAATCTGCATTGTACATGCACATAATAAATTGCAAATATTAAGAATAAAATCCAATTGTGTTTCATATATGTACTTACATACTAAGCTGTTTTGTAGTATGTTCAATTTACTTTTGAAATTGATTCAATACTTATAAACAATAAAAAAAGTTTATATAAACATATGCAATGTTTGATTTTGTTTATGAAACAGTAAGTTTTGTGTTGCAATAGTTTTATTAAGAAGAACTAGTCTTTCCATTTTATTTACAAATAACTTTGATGTCTTTTATACAATCATTTGAGTATTTTTTAAACTATCATAATACTTTATGAATTACTTCCTTCTGTGAATAATAACTATACAAAGTTTCCAATCAATTTGATAAATATCAAGAAGTACTAAGAAAGACGAGATCAATGACACCTTAAAATGCAATAGACATTTTGACTCCTGTGTAATAATCAGATATCAAATGGTACAACATAAAACTTGTTATATTTCATAAACAAGGTCCGATAGAATATATATTTATGTAAATTTTTTTTTATTGTATCCCAGTGCTGAATGAATTGCTGAAGTAGGTTCCATGTAACATGTGGCACCTTATGTATTAAAATTGCAGCATCAACTGTAAGAGTTAAAAACAGGTTAAATACTATTACAAAATCAATTTGCTTCGCAATATAAAACAAATATAAAAACACATTGTAACAAAATTTGTTTTTTAATTTACTTATGAATGTATTTGATTTAGCATTAAAAACAAAATACAGAAGCAAATTTACTATTTGTGTAAAGCTAAACTACTATATTTCTAGCATTTTAATTAAAATCAAAATCGCTTTCTGTATTTGAAACATTTCTTTCAATTGTACTATCTGTATCAGAATCTAATAAAGATTTGATTACATCCTTTTTCGGATTTGATTCATTTTCAGTTAGTGCTTTTGTACTTTTATTTTGAGACTCGTTAAACTTTTCTGATACTTCTTCTATTTCTTGTTGTGATTGCTCATATTTACTCGGTTTATCTTCATCTCTTTGCATGATTTCTGATCGATTAAAATCCATATATTCATGAGACTGATCCATATTAGTTTCAGATGCTTGATTTGGGTCAGGTTGTTGATAACACGCATTCTGCTGATCTAAATTTTCCTGAGACTGTATGTTATAAACATGTTCATACTGATTTTCAGAGTTATGTTCGTTTGACTCTTGTACATATTCTTGATATTCTTGCTGTTGACTATCATGAGAGGGAACATTTTGATCATAATTTATGTCTTGATTAACTTCATATGACATATTTTGGTTGCAGCTATATTCTTCGTTTAAATTAAACTGCTCTGTTTTAAAATTGTCCATATAATTTTGTGCTTGATTAGATTCTTCAATGTAATTTTGATCATTATATTCTTGTACATTACTTTCATTTGTTTCATAACACTCATCTGTTTGTACATTGTCAATTTCTTTCTGTTCAGTAAATGTGTAATGTTCCGGTTCCGAATTTTCTGTAATGTTCTCATTATTCATATAATATTGTACATCTTCTAACCTCTTATTAGGTAAATCAGAAACCTCGCTTGTTTCTGTTTTGCAGTTGTCTATAGGGTCCTCTTTTAACTCAAGATAATCATTACTTTGTACGTTTAATTGATCATTTATGTTATCTAAATTTGTTTCCTTTTTAAAATCTTGATTTCCCACCTGACTTTTTGCAATCGTTACTTCATTTATTTCTTCAACTTTTTTTGTGTTATCTTCATTTAGTTCAGGAATATTGTTAATTATTTCATCTTCACTAAATTCATTTTCAGTTTCTACAGTTAACATTGCTTCCTTTATTTGTTTTTGTATAGAATCTAAATCCCATGGTTTTAATTCTTCAACAGCCTCAAAGGAACAATGATCGAGTTGTGATTCCTTTGAGACAAAAACACCATGTTCTTTAAAAGGTTTCTCATGATGCAAGTTTTCTTTTAAAATTACATTTGCATCATCATTCTGTTCTGTGAACTTATCATTTGACAAAACAACAGAATCAATATTTTGGTCTACGTGTAATGTAGATAGTTGTTGCTCAGGCTTTTCAACATTTTCGCATAAATTTAATTTTGGATCATACAATGTAGTATCGGCACTGATTTTATCTTTTTCTACCACTACGGATGTTTCGAATCCTTCATGTACAGCACGGTTTTTCTCTGAAATTGGAATATCAATGGCATCATTTAAATCTGCTGTTTTAGATGCAAGATCACCTGCCAACGCTAAAACCTCCTCAATATCTTTAGATAAATTTTCATTTGACTGGTTTTCTGCGTAATACTGTCGATCGTTATCCGATGAAGTATTTTTATTTTCTTCATAATTTAAACTTTGCATGTTATGGTCCTGATGGAGTTTATAAATATTAGCAATGTATTTATCTAATTCATTCTCTATAATCGTTGCTGTTCTACTTTCACTTTCCTGCATTGAAGATTTTTTACTTTCTTGAGAAATTTTTACATCGTTTAAATTTTTGGAAGGAAAGTATTCATTATTGGAAAGCATCAGTGAGCGCATAGGAGTATCAGCAACCGATTTTTGCAAACGGTTAACATTTCTTAAAGGATAATTCGAATAACTTTGGAAAGTACACTTTGGTGAATTTGATGTTGCCCTTGATAGAGATGTACTAGGCCTAATTCTTTCTACAGTTACTGGTGTAGATCTATAATTTACATTTTTCATCCGCAAAGGTGTATTGCTTAGTGATATTTTCCTACTTTCTGGTCGAAAAGAATGTAAACCTACTGTTGAATTAATATGACCTTTGGATTGACTTTGAGGTACATTCAACGATTTATGATATGATATATCGCTATTAGTATATCTAGATTTTACTTGAATTGGTTCCATTTGTTTTGGAGATTTGGATAAATATGTAACATCTTGTTCACTTAATGAATTCAGTGGTAAATTCGAGAATGTTTTTGAAACGTACAAATCTGAATCAATTTGACGATACGGAAGTTTATATTGAAAATGTTGCAACGACAAATTCTCAAGTGGTACATTCTGAATACTATTTTGTTGAGGTAGTTGAGGTAGTTGATGTATGTGAAACATATTCTGAGTATTACTGATTTGTTGATTTAAGGGTTTTAATTGTGTTGTGTGCTGCAGACCGCCTTTTGCCTCGTTAATTAAATTTGATGAAGAAAGAGAAATCGATGGATTCGTTTGATAATCCAACCAAACCATTTGCGATGATGGTTTACGTTTTACTTCAGAAGGTAAATATTTTACAGTTACATTCCTCTTTGGATTCCTGTCCTCGACTTTTTTTATTTTATCGATGCCATTATTAGTATTTTCTGGTAACATATAAATTGCATCAATTTTGCGATGATAATCTTCGTACTGTTCCTAGAAAAAGAAATATATACTATATAGATTACAAATTTTGGTGAAGTTGTAGAGAAGGCGCTTTCCCTCCGATTTCAATGATTTTTAAATATGTTGTAAAATTCGACATTTTAAGCAACTGTTTTCATCTAATAAACCAGTTGGACTCGCTTGGTTTTGAAGATATTCGCGAAAAAATATCGCTACCATGCAGTGAATTCTGCCTACACGTATGCATCCGTAACAGTATGTCACTGTCACTTAAAAATCTGTGACGGTAAACTTAAAAATCAAACTTCAATAATTTTGAATTGCATGGCCGACCGCCTTATGACTGCTGGTATATTAATTTAACCTAATCTAACCTAATCTAGACGGATAAGAGGTAAAGGTAAACATTTGATAAAAATGTGGATTTCTATAATATATTTAACCTAACCAGTGGATTAAGTTAGGATAGTTTAAGTTAAATTAATATTTCGGCTACCGTACGGCGCGCCGGAGATACGTTACTGTGTTGCCGATGCGCACACGTCCACGGATGCATACGTATAGGCGGTATTCACTGTAGTAGTAACAATATTCTTTCGCGAATATCTTGCAAACTAATCAAGTTCGACATATAGTTTATAGGAAAAAAGTTGTTTAAAATGTCGAATTTTACAACATATTTAAAAATGATCAGAATCAGGGGGGGGGGGGGGGACGACTTTTCTACAAGTTTACCCAAAATAGAAATATATAATTAAAATATTAGATGTTACGCAGTCAATTAAAACAATATTTTAAACAAAAAGCGAAATATTAACGAATACAATTATTTCATTTCATTTTATTTCATACTGTAGATCGATGGTGGGTAGATCAAGTGCCAGTTGGAGAGCTCACGGATACTGGGATGTTTGGTAAATGTAACAATTAGGCATTAACAATTAAGGAATAAGAAATATAGAAATTTCAAATTTTCAAATTGAGAAATTCTTTGTCACTTGCACATCCATGCACCGCGTTCTCGCGGGCATAGTTGTCTACTTTAGATTATTATTAAAATAAAATTAATTTATTTGTCGAAACTTCGTTTCCTATTGTTACGAGCCGGAGGGGGCGGCTGCATAGCCGAGGCTTAATTTCGGTTATGGTATTATTAATGGCTTAACCAGTGCTGTTATTAATACTGGGAGCCTAAGGAAGTAGACGCGGAGATGAACCTACTTATGGCTAACGTAGGAAGCGGTAGGAAATGTTAGTATTAGGTCTCGTAACTTGATTAGTGTATCTCGAGCGGTAAAGGTACACCTTAGTGAGTTTTCTGGACTAGTCAATATAATTGAACAGAAATAAATAAGTTAAATAATACGAATTTATTCTCTTTGCTGGGAGCTTACAATTGTTGAGTGTAACTGTCACGGTGTTCTACGAGTTAAATTCTAATTTATAAGTTTAAATGAACTGAATAAGAGTTTTAGTTTCGATTCCGCGAAGCAAGAATCTAATCCTTCTCGGTTTTTGTGAACGCGAGCAAACGGGGGCGGACTACAACGATCAGAATAATGCTTAACAGTAGACAATGTACTGTATAGTTATTGAGTGCTTGAAAGGGACTTGAATACCCGATCTTGCTGAGTTTCCTTGTTGGAGAGATTATCCGTAAGAGAAACGTACTGACGTGTATCGAACCGTTTCTAGACTTCAACTAGACCCAAAGTGCCTTCGCCGCCACCCTTTTTATACCAAAAAATTAAGGTAAAAAAGGGTGGTGGGGACGGACTCTATGTGACTCCGAGGGACCGCGCCTTTGCTTTGCGTTGGTCTCAAATTTTCTAGAAGACTGTTTATGCCGGGTGTGCACATCCGACTCCATATAAGGAAATTTCCGAGAAGGGTTCATGACACTAAATAAGGAAATTTCCGAGACGGAAACGTAACACTATTTAAAATATTTTATTTTCTAAATTTTACTGAGTTTTGCTTCTAAATGACTGGTTTGAGTTTGTGTCCGTAACAGCAGCCCGTAAATGTACAATGAGTTGCATTGAACTTGTCGCAGTGAAGTTGGCCACGCATTCACTCACCGACGCTGCGTGAATGCGTAGTGAATTTGTAGCCAACTTCACTGCGACAAGTTCAATGCAACTCACAAGGGAACATCGGGGACTGATACACTCCGATTTTGATGAAACTTTGCATAAATATTTATTAGACCTGTTTATGAAGATAACTGTAATTCGTTGGTGCCCGTTTTTCACTTTGAGGAAGATATCAACCCTTTTATCCGAACCGCCCTTTCTGTATACGTGCTTATAAATCGTAAACAACAAAAGATATAAAAAAATAGTTGAAATAAAAGTTATACCGTTTCTTGAGGTCTATAAAACTGCGTGAAGTTTTTCAAAACGGCGGGGGAGGGGGAATTCAATTTTGCAAAAAGGATGATTTAAAAAAAAAACTTACACGCAGCTTTATAGACCTCAAGAAACGATATAACTTTTATTTCAATTATTCTTTGATATCTTTTGTTGTTTACGATTTATAAGCACGTATATAGAAAGGGCGGTTCGGATAAAAGGGTTGATATCTCCCTCAAAGTGAAAAACGGGCACCAACGAATTACAGTTATCTTCATAAACAGGTCTAATAAATATTTATGCAAAGTTTCATCAAAATCGGAGTGTATCAGTCCCCGATGTTCCCTTGTCAGGGTACATACACGCATGCTCTCGTGGGGTCCATGCCCATTTCATAAGGTGTATCGTTTATCTTGTCCACCTTAATACTTTCAGCACGGATATAGTTCTTAGGTGTATATTGTCGAAGTCAACATTTTGAATAACTCTTTCGGTAATTATCTATGATAGAGGAAGCACTTTCAATCACCTTGATCTTGATATATGTATGTTATCTTAAGGACACTTTCCTGAGAAAATTTCGTAAGGTATTAACCATCGCTCAGTATTAATTAAAAAGTTATTAACAAATAAAGTTGACAGTAAAAAGATACATTTAATAACATAAATTAAATTTGTAATTATTCAGAAAAGAGTACACCTCACCGATTTCGATGATCTTGAAATATGTTGTCTGGAAATATTACATGCTCCAAAAATACTCGACTCAAAACGCGACATTTATGACGTGAAGTGACCATGAAGAGATATACGTAGTATATATACATTTGATTTCAAATAGTTTCGAACATACTGCGCTTACAAATTTATTAATTTTTGTGCAAGAAATTTCGCTTATTTTGGAAGTGGCAGTGATTATTACTTTATTAGCGCCTAAAGTGCCACGTGATTCTTGAAACAGATCCGATGGGTCTATGCTTGGAATAGCAGGTGCAATGGTTGACCACCACTAATACTTTTTTAAGCGGAGTATCTTGCATAAAAAAACTTTTGGTGTAAGAAACGGTGAATTTGTAGATGAGATACTCCCCCTCCGATTTTGATGATTTTTAGGTATGTTGTAAAATTCGACAATTTAAACAACTTTTTTCCTGTAAGCTATGTCGGACTCGATTAGTTTGCGAGATATTCGCGAAAGGATATTGTTACTACTATGTACTGTGAATTTTGCCTATACGTATGCGCTCGTGGTCGTATGTGTACCGGCTCGCTTGCATACCGTTTCTGTAAATAGCACCATGTAGTTCGGCTCCTATTCGTGCAACGGGTGAACTAAAAATTCAAATTATAACATTTGACTCTCGTGGCCGGCTGCTAAAGGCGGCCGGAATATTAATATAACCTAACCTAACCAAAAATAAAGTTATTAAATTACAAAATTACTAAATATAGAATACGTAAGGACATTCATTTTACAGTAAAGTTGATACATGTGATAATATTTAGTTATTATTGAATGAAAGATTTGTTTAGAATTTCAACACGTGAACTCTGCCCTTTCTCCTGCACTCTCAACCCAAAGTAATTTAACCCAAGCTAACCTGATTCATTTTTGAATTAACCCATTTCTTCCCAGTATTGCGTACACGCAACACGAAGTTTAGCTTCACAATATTTTCTGGAAGAAATGAGTTAAATTCAGGATACGACTGTTTGAATTACCCCAAGGATAAATTAGGTTATGTTACGTTCAATTACTTCAGAGTGAGAGCGCAGAGAGAGCACATGTGTTGAACTTTTAAGCAAACCTTTCATTCAATAATAATCAAATATTATTGCAAAATGAATCTCCTTTTTTATGCAGACACCGATAGGATTTTTAGCAGTTCGAGATACTGGCGGTTCCAGACTTGATATGTACACTGTAAGTTGCATTGAACTTGTCGCAGTGAAGTTGGCTACACAGTCACTAACACATTCACACCGCGTCGTCGACACCTCGCCCATCGGCTCACCGACGCGGCGTGAATGTGTTAGTGCGCCAACTTCACTGCGACAATTTCGATGGAACTAATACCGCAGACTAATAACGCACATGTAGTAAACAGCAAAATATAATAGGTATACATATCGAATATGTTTGTGCAAGCGACGGTAATATTTATAGGGAAAATTTGTTCAGAATACTGATCTTGGCATCATATTTCAAGGCCATTCAGCTCGACAAGGTCGTTTGCTTTGCAAATAATCATAAAAAATTTTCCTAAATAAATATTTGTCGTTTTGAACCAAACAATTTTGTATCTTGGCACATTTTTTGTACCATTAATAATAATGAAGATATTAAGGTAGACAAGGTAAACGAAACACCCTGTTTATGTAGATTTAAAATGTACAAAAATAAACCATATTTAAATTGCAATCAAGCATTCCGATGGTGCTATATGCTTTCAACATTTATATTATTGAAAATAAATAAACTCACTTTAAGAACGTTAAGCCTATTTATTTTTGCAGTCATCAACTCAAGATTATCGTCTACGTTATTTAATGTTTCAAGAAGTTTGTGATTTTTGTCATTCTTCGTACGTTGTTCCTCTAGAAACTCTATATATCTTAAACGTAATCGACTTATACACGTATAATGCCTGCAACAATAAAAATTTTGTTATTTCTTCCTACTTCAAACTCATTGCCAGTAAAATTTTCATTATCGGAATATTATATCTTATATTATCCAACAGCATATTCCTAAATTCTAGAACATTAATATGTAATGTATTTATATAAAGTGTTTGACAACTGTCATGACCGAGACTACGATATACGTCAAGGCGGGTCCTTATTACCGTGGACGTGTGAACCCCTCTTGACACCGGATGTGAGAATGGAATAAGGAAAGAGATGATGAGTGAGATGTACAAAAAGAGATATTGTAACGTATTTAGCGAGGTGGAAGAATCTGCCAAGAATAAAGTATTTTCTTTTTCATCTAAAGAAAGCACATGTGTTTATTGGCTTCGACCGACTTACACGCGAACACAACAACAACAGAAGAGAAAAAATTGAAGAGGTCATTATTAAGGTCAGAATAGGATGAAAATGCGTTCATGGTTCTTTCTTCTTTTTTATTTTTTTTTTTGTTTACAAAAGCGCCTGAAACCAACAATTCGTACAGCATTGATACTTGAATATGGATCAGCAAGCGCGTGTATAATAATAGTCAAAATCAGTAACTAAGTAACTAGACAATTCCGCAATTACTAAATTTCAAATTCCTAAATTAAAACATTTGGTATTTTCTACATTCCATACTGTATGCACAGTGGCCGTGAATTCTTCGGCGAGAACACTCATTGGAGTAGTACTGGGTCTACCATTGAGGATCCCTTCGGATACTCAATGCTTGTCAACAAGCTTGTAGGCACCATGCTTACTGATGCAACGTTCAACTGGTGCTTTGTGCAGATTGCCGGTTTCAGATCCTTTCCACTGAATTTTTTCTATGTTAATACCTAAAACACAAAACCGCTCACGCTGTCATTCTTAATTTTTCTCTTATTTGAATTTTTAAAGTTCAGGGCGACGAGCTCTACAAGCTGGCAAAGTTTCATTAATAAGTGAGTGTAACACTTGGGTAGTTCCCCTTGTCAGTGTATGTACACGGTGCGAGAAATCTCGTTTGTGAAGAGCATCCGTGGCTCGCATCTCGAAACTTGCATGCGTGAAGGTGTTGACACGGTTCGAGATATAAATCGGATGTACCAACGCGTTTCATTCGACCTCAATGCTTAAAATGAAGTCTGTTAATGAAGGTGTTGCTATAGTTAGCGTCATGTTAAGTGCTTATACATATGTATAATTAAAAAGTTAATACAAATAAAAAAGAAAAAAAACAGAAGAGTGTGGGTAAAAAACTGGATCGATAGACGTAGATACTTTGGAGCTTCTGATCAATTAGTAAAAGAATTGCGAAACGAAGATGTGGCTGCATTCCGAAACATATTTAGATTTACTTACAATTATTAATCCAGACCACTTTAATGTTTTATTACAAAATGTGCACCCACTCATTTAAAAAAAGTGGAGAAATATGCGAGAGCTTCTGTTATCAAAACTCAAATTATAAATTACTTTACGTTGTTTATGTTCAGGTGACTCATTTAATACAATAGTTTGACGTATCTTTTTCTAGTGCCAAGTACAAAATATCCCGTTTTATACCTGAAGTTTGTGATGCTTTGACAACAGTTTTGAAAGAATATTTACAGGTAAATGTAAAAAAGTATTGTTTTATTTTATGAATATTGTGATATAAATAGCAATTAATATTTTAATATTTTTTAATATTTTGATAAATATATATACAATTAAAATAATTGAAAATAGGTGATCATAGAATAATCTGTAGAAAGGGAAAAATCAGAAGTGGTTGCTCAAGGACTTTGAAATATGTATTAAGAAGGGCTATTGTTATTGTTTCGTTGTAGTTGTCTGTTTAATAGCTGCATACGATGGTTTATACGCTTTCTGGTAATTAACTGTTGGATTTCCAACTGCAATTGAAGCGCATCTTCCAACGTCATATTGCTTAATTGCGCAGCAACGCTTTGTCCGAATATATCAAATTCGGTTTTTTTAGACGTTGCGATTGCATTAGCTGAAATAGTTTCTAATCTATGTAGTGCCGATGATAGAAATTTTTCACCGGTTTCGTCACTGTCTCTTTTTCTTTTCGTGTTTCTTGAACTCCAGTGTCCAGTAAATGTTGGTTGTGCGTAAACAGTTGATTCATGGCTCGTTGATTGTTGCTGAAACATAGTTCGAGCTTGGGTTACTGGTTCCTCCAAATCATTATCCTGTTTCATTTGATGCTGTTTGATCAAAAATTATACAGTGGTACCTCGGTATACGACCTTAATCCGTTCCTGATGTTTGGACTTACAGCGGAGTTCACCAGAGTCCATAACTGCGAAAAGACCAGTTTTCGTTCTTTCGTGCGCATCTTCGCCCTGATTGGCGGTACTCCCAAACGAAGTAGAAAGCGATTAGCGGAGAGCTCGCTGCGTTCCCCCACCATCTTTTAACCTGCGCGTCGCAGTTATGGACTCTGGGGAACTCCGCTATATGCTGAATAGGACCTACACCCCCGTTCATAAGTATCCGGACACCTTCTAAAATAGAATACTCTTAGTAAAATTGGACCAAATGACTTGAGATTTATTGAGGAGTTATAAAAATTAATATACTAGATGATGTGCTTTTGTCGTTTTAATAAAATTAAAGTTTGTCACAATCGCGACAAAAATAGTAAAAGGCAATTTTTTAACTTTTTTATCCGAGCCTATAATGAAAATTTAAAATATGTCTTCCGTAGATTCAAATAAGTTACAAGTAATTAAAATTTTACAAAGAGTACAGTAATGCTTCGAAATAAGCAAGTGGTCTCTGCTTCGAAATAAGCAAGTCGCTATCCCCTCTTCTTTGTTTGAAGTCGCCCGCAAAGTGAGAGGTACGAGAAACGAGTGAGAGGTCCATCAAAGCGCGAAGCCGATGTTTAGGGTAATAAATTTCACGCTCGACTGAGCAGTGACATCGGTTAGTAGAAGAAGGATGGAATATATATAATGCTTTCTCAGTCTGGTATATTTGCTTCGAAATAAAGCATAGTGCGAGAATGAGAGGGCATGTTATATTCTATCCTTGTCCAAAAAATAACATCGCTGCTCGACCGATCACTTTATGATTTGCCGCTACCTCGGATCTCTCACTCGTTTCTCGCGTTCTCTATCGTCCCGTTTCGAGAACAAAGTCAAGCCGAATAGCTACCTGCTTCGAAATAAGCAACTGTTCGGTCCCGAGCCACTTGCTTATTTCGAAGCATTACTGTACATATTCTGTTTTAAAAGGTGTCCGGTACTTATGAACGGGGGTGTATACCAAACCAACCTTTCCCATATTTTGTTATATGATATCCTTACTTGTATGATCAGTCAGTTAATGGTACATCAACTCCGAATATAATTGATTATTAATTTAATTTTTCATCTGACAATGAGATAATTATTAAAAATGACGCAAAATTCACACAAAAAGTTTATGTCGTATACCGAGCAAAATTTGTCACGTCCAAACAGGACGCATTCCAAATTGGACGTATCCCAAAGCAGACGTATACCGAGGTACCACTGTACTACGATCTGAAACGTTTTTTCATTTGGTTTCGTTCGTCGCGTCGTCTTCAGTAACATTTATGTGATCAACAATCTAAAAATGAAAAATATATATTCTTATCATGTTTAATATGTTACTTTATTACAGGTACTCTCTACGCTTGAGAAATGGATTCGAACATCGTTGGAATTTTCCAAATGTAATTGGCGCTTTAGATGGAAAACATGTGAATATAATTTTGCCCATGAACAGTAGATCGGATTATTATAATTATAAAGAAAAGTACAGTATAGTATTAATGACGCTTGTGGACGCTGACTATCGATTTACATATTGGAGCTAAAGGTCCCTTTTCAGATGGTGGAATTTTTCGGAATTCTAACTTTTACACAGCACTCACCGAAAACAGTCTCAATATTCCGGAAAATGAAATAATAGTTACGGATGATGCATTCCCGTTGACAACCCGAATAATGAAGCCTTACGAAAAAAAGACATTTAAGTACCGCGGAAAAAGTTTACAAATATCGACTTAGCAGAGCCAGACGTGTTGTTGAAAATGCGTTTGGCATTTTGATAACGTGGTTTAGAATATTCGATAACGACATTAAACCAGAATAGACCAGAAAAGGTTGAAAAAATGATACTTGCTACATGTTCCTTACACAATTGGCTTCAAACATGCAAAGATGAAAATTATTGGCCTCGAGAAATTGTGGACAGAGAAGACACAGAGTTTGGACAAATTGTCTCGGGTCATTGGAGACAAATCACACGAGGATTAACAAATCGATTTGCATATAATCCAGCGAGACACGCAATAAATATACGAAATGACTATTGTGAATATTTTAGAATGATTAATTAACGATATCTTAAGACCTAACAATATAACGTTTTTGTCTTTCTTCTCTTTAATGATTGTAATAAATTAGTATTTGAAGTTAATTCATTTATTGTTATTTTCTTTTATTCTTTCAACATTTTTTGTATCAATTTTCAATTAATCGCGAACATGTATAGATACATTCATACACACATAAATACATACATACAAACAAATGAAACAGAAAACCTCTTTTTTTAAGTCAGTTAATAAATTTTTGTTAAATAATAAATTACTTACCTCCAAATTTGATACCGTTTTTTGTGTTACAAGTGGTTGTAGAAAACTATCCAAAGCGGCGAACCATGGTAAAGAAGGTTTATATACTTCTTCGCTTCCAGCACCACTTTTCATTGAATTTTTAATCTTTTTGAGTTCTTGACAATAATGTGAACGCAGGTTTTTAATTTTATTTTTACATTCAACTAATGTAAAATTAGGTATGTTCATTTCTGCTACAATATTTTCTAATGCACTTTGTCGTTTGTCACGATTTTTATAATCTGATAAATCAGATTTCCACAAACACGGATGTGATTCATAAAGATGAATAAAAGTCATCATTTGATGATTATTCCACTTTGACATCGTTTTAGAAATGGTATTTCAGCGTTCACGGCGACAGACAAAATAATGGCCGATGTACACGGTGCGAGAAGCCCTCGAATACTACTCGCATGCGAGCTCGAATCGTGTATGTATATGTTTCATGTGCGTGCACGCATGCAGCATGCACGAGCTCGAATCGGTTTCCAACTTGTTGGAAATTTGACGAGTTTCTCGTGCGTGACTCGCACGAAAATGAATCCGGAAAGAACGACAGGCCAAGCAGGCCATGTGCGTTCTGCCATTTTAACCCTTTATTTACTGCTTTTTTTATCTGTTTCATCCTTCTTTCCTTGATACATTATCTGTTCATCCCTCTTTCCTTATAGTCTCTTTTTATTGGCTGAAGTGGACTTCAAAGTCCCAATGGGTCCCAAAGCGTTTAAATTAATACAGTACCATGAGATAACTGACGGAACTGATAAGTCCCGTCAGTAAATATAGAGTTAAGCCCTAAGCTCGAATGAAACGCGTTGGTACATCCGATTTATATTTCGAACCGTGTCAACACCTTCACGCATGCAAGTTTTGAGATGCGGTCCTCGAACGCTCTTCACGAACGAGATTTCTTGCACCGTGTACATCGGCCATTACTCCTGTGGCGTCCCACAAGACTTCGCGTCTGTGAAGTTAGCACCTCATTTTAAAAAAACAAAACTTTTAGCAACAGTTGTATTTGCACTCGCAATAGTTCTACAGTTCCTGATAGGTTTCACAAATAGTTCCGGCGAAATACCTGAAAAAATAGCATTTTGAAAATATGAGCTGCCAACTTCGCATGGCACCGCATCATGCGAAAAATGTTATTTAACCCCTTGCACTATTTTGACGAGTCTGACTCATGATAAAAATTTTAGGCCAAACTTGAATATCACGAGTTTGACTTGTGATCGAGATTTCGAACTCAGAGATTGCGAATTCTCTCGCACTCTCAGTCGCAAAATATCATGTTTCAAAGTTCCGACACTCTGTCTGCACCGCTCGGCTCCTATCCCCACCATTCGGGCGCCCCGTGTTTGGCATGGCTTTTTCCGAGTTTCCGCATAGTGCAAGGGGTTAAATCATCATATTTTACAGTTTTCAAATAGTTCTACAGTTCCTGATAGATTTTAGAGTAGTTCCGACCGCGAAATATTAAAAAAACAATGTTTAATCTCGAAGCTGGCACCTCAAATTTCCATTATGGTGGCCAGAACTTTTTTGTTTTTGAACATTTTTCGCATAATGCGGTGCCACGCGAAGTTGGCACCTCATATTTTCAAGATGCTATTTTTTAGGTATTTCGCCGGAACTATTTCTGAAACCTATTAGGAACTGTAGAACTATTGCGAGTGTAAATAGAACTGTTGCTAAAAGTTTTGTCTTTTTAAAATGACGTGCTAACTTCACAGACGCCAAGAATTCTTGCAAGCGGAAAACAATACTTCTTGTGCATATTAACTGAATTATTAAATTAACTGAACGATGATCACAAACAAATAAACTTTTCATCTTTTAAACAACATCAAAGTATAAACGTTGATAATAATTATTTGAACTAAAATACATATGTTTCTATCCAAATATTTAACATCGATTTTGTTATCTTTAAAATGTATTACACATTCATATGCTACAAATATTAAGTTTTACTTTAATAATCTTTAAGCATTAATCAAGTTATTATTTGATTACACCGTTCAAGTCATGTTTTATGCTTGAATAGTAAAAGTCATTCATAACAGTCATTAGTATCTAACAAAATTATTCTATGAACTGTTGCGAATAAAATAATATCGGTTATTAAAAATGTTTAAATATGTTTAAACAACAACCAAACTGAAAATTATATACACGAAACATTAATTTTTGCAGATATTTTTCAATTTATTTTAGAAACTACAACTCTATGAGAGAATTTAATTACATCACGCGGTAGAGCAAACAATTTTCCTGCGATAAAATAATGTTTAACAAAAAATACAACCGATTTTGAGATGCGTTAAAAAGTGTAAAATACATAATTATATTTCATTTATACAACTACGTGACAATTATTAATAAAACCTCTTGGTGTATTAATAAAATGCGCTAAAAGGTATAAAATAATTTCTAGTTCATTTATATCAAGACTCCACAGCTATTAATAAAACCTATTTAATCATTAAATAGTATACTAAATTTTAAAAAATTACGGAAAGATAATTGAAGCTTTGAAATTCACTTCAAAGTTTGAAGTGTAATGATCAGAAAATGCGCGAGAATCGTCTATATGGTTTTATTAGCCTCAATACGCATGCGCCTAACGTTCCCCGAATGCGCAGTAGTGAATCGCGCATGGTCAGTATCGAATAGCGCATACTTAGTCCCAGAATTTTACAAAACTTCTTACCACGATATCTCAAAAACGGTAAGACATCCAGCTCTGAAACCAATTTTAATCGGTTTCTGGTAGTCAATTTAGGTTATATACCGAACCCGAGTTCTCAATTCTAACGGGGCTATTCGGAAACACACCCCTAAATACATTTCAACCTTTTCGAAGCTGGCGCAAAATTAAAAGCTTTTCTTCTACTAGGAAGATCCTAGTTCAGGCGTATGATAAATAACCCATTTGATAATTTCAAGTAAACAATATTCAACAGGAATCAACATACCTATTGTGGATTAACTGCATATACATCAGAAGTGCTGCCAATTTCAGATACAATCGTTACAATTACAAATATTCTCAGCCGTACCTATAATGTTCGACTGATTATGTAATCACCAAGTTCGCCATACCGCAATCAGATCGTTATTAGCAGCATCTTTTATTCGGGTACTTTTAATTTTGCGCCGCCTCCAAAAGCGTTGAAATGTATTTAGTATACTATTTAATGATTAAATAGGTTTTATTAATAGCTGTGGAGTATTGGTATAAATGAAATAGAAATTATTTCATACTCTTTAGCGCATTTTATTAATGCACCAAGAGGTTTTATTAATAACTGAAACATAGTTGTATAAATAAAATATAAATTATTTTACACATTTTAGCACATCTCGAAGTCGGTTGTATTTTTTGTTAAAAATTATTATATTTCACACTTTTTAGTGGAACGAGCAGTATTTGTAGGATACCGTAAGGTGGTTATGTGTTTTCATTGGTTAGCTAATAACCAAAAACCAACAAAAATATATTGATCGAATTTAGATGGTTAATACAATATTTTTGCAAGTGGGATCATTGTGGAAATATCTCCTATTAGATGTGAAAGGTTTCATCGCAATCGATACTTTCTTTGCAAAATAAGACTAAGGAACAGGGTTTTTGCTATAACAATAGTTATTAACAATAACAAATTCCATAAATTTTTGTAAGTGACGTCATCGTGAAAATATTACCTATTAGATGTGAAAGGTTTCACCGTGACTGATGCATTCCTTACAAAGTAACACCAAGGAATAGGGTTTTTGCTATGACAATATGTATTAACAATAACAAATTGCATAAATGTTTGCAAACGGGATCATCGCGGATATATCTGCTACTAAATGTGAAAGGTTTCATAGCGATCGGTACATTCCTTGCAGATTAAACGCCGAAAAATTTTAATACAGCATTACGTTTTTTGCAATAAAAGTCGTTAAGAATGAAAAAATGCAAAATATTTTTTTTATGGAACCAATCGGGAGACATACTCTATATCAGGCCTGTCCAAGTAGGGGAATCCACTCCTGGAACATATGTTTTGGGTCCCCTTCCAACGCTGCTCCTTCAAGTAAGATGGGACGGTTCCGACTACCAAAGACGGTAGGAAAGACGGAGAGACGGTAGTCGGAACCGTCCCACCTTACTTGAAGGAGCAGCGTTGGAAGGGGACCAAAAACATGTGTTCCAGGAGTAATTTCCCCTACTTGGACAGGCCTGCTCTATATGATCCAAAAGGTTCCGTTCCGATTGGTCGATCCGTCTCGGAGTAATCGGGGAACATACATAAAAACAAAATATACTGATTGAATTGAGTAACCTCCTCCTTCTTTTCAAAGTCGGTTAAAAGGTATGAAAGAAAATTGTTGGTCTGCGTTTACTTTTAATACAGAACCGAAATACACATATGTAATTTGGTAAGATACGCGGAACCGGCAATAATACTCATCAGTGTCGGCTCATTCATAAGGACTGCAAGGCTGTAGCCTCCCTAAACGAAAGTTCGTATTTTTAAAACATATTTAAAAATTATCAACATCAGTGATACCGTTTCCTTTTTAAATAATTATTTTTAATTTGATAAATAATATAATTTTTTTAATACATATTGATTTCTTTATTTTTATTGCTACAGCCTCATTACTACTCATTTTGGCTGTATGTAGTTCCGAATACGACCGGTCGCCGATCAAGATGAAATTTTGAGGAGGAAGGGGAGGGGGAGGGGACCCCAAATATACAGTGGTATCTTCGGCTTCCTATTAGTTTCCGAGATATTAATTAAAAACTTTCATACAATACATAGAATTTTTCCTATACAAACGTAACTAACACTACCGTCTTCGCTATAGCAACCGTCATCGTCAAGTGTCGAACAGCCGTTCACACCATAGCAATATCGGCTTCCGTTTCTATAGGGTGTTCCATGTAAAATCCATTTTTTTAATTACATTACGTTATGTTTTATATTTTATTACTAATTCTCAAGGAATTAAACACAATTGATTTATACGTAGGTTAGGTTAGGGCAGATAAATTTCCGGCCGCCGGAAGGCGGCCGGTAACACTGCAACAGTCGTTGTATTTCCAAAGTTTTGAATAGGACACCCTTTGATAGTCAGGTTGGAATCCCAGCTGTATCACGGCTGTTCGACACTTGACGATGTCAGCTTACTATGTACAGCGAAGACGATTGTGTTAGTTACGTCTGTATAGGAAACATTCTATGTATTGTACGAAAGTTTTTAATTAATATCTCGGAAACTAATAGGAAGCCGAAGATACCATTTTATATTTGGGGTCCCCTCCTCCCTCCCCCCTCCCCCTCAAAATTTCATCTTGATCGTTCATTTTTACGAACTGCCGGTCAAACTGTGACTCACGAGTCACAATTCTCTACCACCCGTACTTTCTAACTCCTCTGAACCGGAAGAGAAGGTCCTCCGCTATATGAACAGTCGAGAGATGGAAAGAACGTTAATGGGACGGTACATAGGCAAAGGGAGTATGTACTTCGCACGCTCCGCCGTGTCCCCACGTTTGATCCTTGCGTTCAAAGTTCGCCGCAACTTGACTTCGTACCATCTCGCTTTGTCGCGAAGTTTCATTTTTCTTCTTTGTCAGGCGACCCGATTAGTGTGTGATCGCATCGGCCAATAGCGCGCGATAATCTAGAATGCATGTGCGTGAGGCGTGACGTACCAACTTCGACCAATCGTACCCGCATTCCTTTTCCTAATGTTCTTTCCATCTCTCAACAGTACTTAAGTATTACCTATTACTCGCATACGCTGTCTTTATCTCAACATCGAATGTATCTCCGAGTTACTGCACGTTACACGTTTATAGGGGTTCGGGCTGATTGATGGTGGGAAGACAGGGTATCTAATAGTGGGAAACGTTCAGCCGCTGGTAGAGAGGATTTTGACCATGCCTGCATTAAAGTGTGCAGTATGCAACTTGATGAAATCAATAAATAATTCTGTCAC